TTGGTGCAGGGGCTAGGGAGAAACCTGCCAGCCTGGGGATAATCAGAGAATCACAGCGCCATCCCCAGGCACCTAGAGAGGGAGAGAGAAAGCGTCCTAGCCCGATGCCTGCTATACTCACCGGCATCACTGTTGCAGGCATTTCCTGCTCCGGGAAGTCACTCTGCCTTACACCCTCGGTGGACCATTGTTCAGGGAACAGCCTCATTCCAAGACGGGGCTGAAGGAAAGGAACCAGCAGAGGAAGAACCTCCTACAGCCTAAGCCCGGGCAAAGGAGGAAGAGGTACAGACATCATTAGGGAACTGTAGCCCATATCGCTCTTACCTGAGGGCCAGGTGAAGCCCCGCCCCATAGCCTCACATGTCACCTGTGATTCTTCCCAGTAACCACAACCCACCCTCCGGCAGGCAAGGCAGCACTTGGGAAGTTTAAAGAGACACCACCCTTTTCTGTGCAGGCACAGAAACAAGGAAGATGACACCCAGCAGGAGGCTGAATTGCTGTTGTAGCCTGGGAAGATTTTAAGGAGTGGGGTGCTTTGCAGAAATGTAGAGACAGGGTCCCCACCCCGTGGTCCTTCACCCAAGTGACTGGCCTCCTGGCTATGTCAGGAGAGGTGAGCTATTCCTAAATCGCCTGCTCACAACAGTTCAGGTCTCAGGGAGCTCTCTGAAACGGTTTACAGCTTTAAGGCTGACTTAAGCCTGGGCAGAAGCTCTCAGGCAGAATTTATTTAGCTGCCCAACAGGTACTGCTATTCTTATCTCCAGAGCCAAGGAATGTGTCTCAAAGTCCTTTATAATGACCTCACGCGAAGCTTCCCTTGCCTTTGAGATACATACTGATGTCACCAAAAACACTGTCTTAAAAGAACATTGAGAATCTCATGGATAAATAATATATGCATGCTCAAAAGTCCACGAAAGACACAGTGAATGAGGGTGGTGTCCTAAAAGGCCATTGCTTAACCCACTGCTCTTTACAAGGCTGTAGAAAACAGTGTGCACTGTATACAGGGAAATAACACATGTTCAAGTATTTGTCAACTGTATCAAATATTTTCTACTTTGGGGTATCTCCATGCAACCTGAACTTGCATTTTTAGAATTCGATTTTTAGTTTGTATTAATTTAAATGGATAGTATTAATGTTTAGTTTTAAACATCTAAAATGTGTCTGTATTTACATCTTGACCACTGTGGGAAGTTATAAGGAGGATATCAGACAGCAGTTATTGAATGACAGTAGCAGAGATTAAAAAAGTTAAAACCTCTGTAACTCTGACACACTGACAACACACATCAACATATACAAATTAAATATCCTTAAATCAAACTCTACTAAAGTTCTCAAGCAGAACGAGGAGTAACGGTAGCTTGGAATAGGAAGCCTAATCCGAACTACCTAGTCCGTGCCGCGCGGCACGGAGTCCGCACTAGCGGACATTTAAAAATGGCGGCGCCTGGCAATATGCAAATGAAGCCCGGGAAATTCAAATCCCGGGCTTCATTTGCAACTCCGGTTGCCTACATTACCACCCTAGTTCGAACTAGGGTGGTAGTGTAGACACACCCACAAAGTCCACAGGAAGGAGGTCCAAAAATCACTGCAGGTTGGAACCTCTCTAGTTTGGCACTCTCTGGTCTGATAACATCCGTGGTCTGCCATGATTTTAGTTAGCCAGATGCCCACTTATCATGGGCATGTATCCTGTGGTCCCATAAAGTTTGTTTATAGCCGCCAGTCCTGGCTCTCAGTGTTCTGTGCTGTTAATTAGCTCTACTTTACCCCTATATGTCCAGGAAGCAGTGGAAGTGTTGGTAACACTGCTAGACAATATTGACTTTCCGTGGTTCGGCACATTCTCTGGTTCAGCACCAGTCAGGTTCCGAGGGTGCCGGGCTAGAGAGGTTCAACCTGTACAACTACAGAACTCTCCTCATTGTGTCCTTCATAGGATAGGCAGTGAATGAGATAAGAGCTACTGGGTGAGACCTGCACCGCAAGCTGCACATCCTCCTAGCCTCTTGGGTATTATGTATACACCCAGATAGGCAGGCATAAAAGGGTCCATGAAGGAGACATGGCATGCATTGAATGAGGTACATTGCCCATGCACACCACATCAACTGTCCATTAAGAAAACCCCACCTTTTTAAAATGTACACTTATCTGCATTTGACTATGCACAACTTTAATCAATTGTGCGAGGCCTGGTGTATGCTTACAAGGCACACTACAGTCACCTACCTGCATTCCAAATGCTGGAGCTACTGAAATGCTGCAGGGCAGAGCTACACTAGAGAGTAGAGCATGAGGTGGCCATGGGAAAGCAGAACAGGTCTGATTACATCCATCAATTATTTGTTGTCTCTCCTCTTCTCTCATTTTTTTTCCTGTTGAAGTAAAATGGAAACAAAGTTTAGAATAAAAATTGAGAAGTCCTGGGCCTCAGCTCCTGACAGCTTCTGCTCTCTCTGGGTTGATGCAGTGACCCCAAAGATTTGCTTGCTGGTGCAAATGCAAATTAGAAATAAATCTCACATTTTGAACAGTGGGAGTGATTAACCACCAGAACAAACTACCTTTGGAAATGATGGATTCCCCATCTCTTGACGTCTCCACATCTCATTGCAACTCTCATTTTTGTATAGTGTTAGCTTTTCTCTTTGAGTTTTAATTTTTTATTTTAATTCCCTCAGCACAAATGAATTTCTGGATTGTTTTTCATTTTGAATCAGTGACCTCTAGTGATTGGTTTGGTTAATTACAAGAGTATTATAATGTTTCATTCTCAGAGGCGCTGAGCAGCTGCAATGCCAGCTGAAGTCAAAGAGAGCCGCAGGTGCTCAGCACCTCTGGAAAGCTGGTCCCTATCCTCTAGATCATGGGTTCCCAAACTGGGGGGGGCATGAAGAAATTCTGGGGGGGAGGGGCGAGGCGACCAAGCCTCCCCCATTAGCCTCCCTCCCAAGTTTTGCTGCTATTTTTGTTTTTTGGTCCCAGTCCAGTCATTTCCTTTTTTTTTCCTCAACAAGTTTTGCTGCTATTGGGGGTGGGGAGGGAGGGCGTGAGGGTTTCTCAAAAATCCAAAAGGGGGCATGAAGCCAAAAAGAAGTTTGGGAACCACTGCTCTAGATGCATGCAGAGCAGATAAAACCTCAGATATTTATTAAGGCTTGGAAGGCCAGGATTTTAATTAGTAAATGTTGGTAAGCATCAATTTCACCATACAGGCACAAATTGATTAAACAAGTTACAAATAGGTAAAGTCTGAAAAATACTGCTTGAAAATTTAGTAGAACTTGACTGCAGGATAGCTACTTTGTATACTTTGACGTGTTGTTGACAATTTGTATTCAACTATAAAGCTGTAACTTTTGAATCTCAATATCTATTATCATTAAATAGCTACCACCCTCTCCCCATTGTTTGATGACCACATAGTTTTCATATTTAAATGGATAAAAAAGCTGAACCCCATAGTGTTGTCTGTCTGCTAAAATTAAACGGATAAACATAAAAACGCTTAAAATTTAAACATTAAAACTGTATTTAAAAAAATCAAATTCTGCCAAAGTCTAGTTATTATGGTCTTGTACAGTAAAGTCTCTGGAACTCATTTTATTTGAGGGTTGAGCCACAGTGCCAGGATTTCAAACAGTGACCTCACAGAACATGGGTGTTTCAAAGCCAAGTTTTAACCCTTTTAGCTATTGCCTTCTCTAGCCTATGGGTAGCCCAGGGTTTGCCTGCGTTATACTTACAGCACTTCCCACAGAAATGAATGCCCTGGAAGAATAATCACTGCATCACTAGTAGGGGATGAAGGTGCTGCATTATGCTCATTGTGAGACAGGACATGTAAGGATATCTCAAGGGAGGGGGAGGGGAAACACTGATAATGCAGAACATGGAAAAGGGATTGATTCTGTTTTCAGTACAAGTAGGACCTCTGCCCCCTCCGAGTTAATGTCTCCAGGGGAGGCAAGGAGCCAGCTGGGAAAAGCCACAGGCCAGGAGTAGCAACAACAGTGTTGGGTGTGACACACGGTTCCGCCAACCTCGCAATCTGAAAGAGCTTATGACTCGTTAACTTTCAGTCTCTTGCTCAAAAATGTGGTGGGACTCTAGTGCTGGTGAAAAGTGCCAGCCTGGCAGCCTCTGGAGAGAAACAGCCTTTTCTCATCCACAGCTTCTCCAGTACCATCCCTGCCTGGGCAGAAGCAGTGAGGAGGTAGCTTTAGTCTTCAGCAGAGCAATTGGTGGTTTCTATCATGTAAATGCCTGAATGTTTGGGACTGGATTGAGACCATCACCTCCTTTTGACAAAACCAATTATCAGACAATAACTACCATTGGAACAGGACTATGAAGGGTGATATAGCCATGAAAGGCTCTGGATCTTATCAAATCTCTGGCTCCTGCCAGTCACTCATCTCTCTGCTCTTGTTTTTATCTCTCTTCCACACCACACTTTGCAGTGAATATCAATATCTGATCTCTCCTATGCCCCTGCTTCCCTACCACAAGCAACCCCCTGCCCCTTTACTGCCGAAGCTAGAACACCATGAACATTTCTCTCTGTGCCTGCTGGGCATACATACATTTCAGTAGCATTTCAGGAGCTCTGCAGAAATCTCACACAGTTCTGTCTCTGGACACTGCAGTTTCCAACCTTTTTTTAGTGGAGCAAAATCCTGAAGAGCAGGGTGTCCATATCATCCAAGTCTAGTCCCAGCACCTATGGTTGGGAGACTGTAAAATGTAGAAAAAGGAACACATCAGAATACAACTAATAAAACATAAATAAGTTTCCTCTGAAAAACATGTTCATCCAAAAGCCCCCGGCACAGAATCTCCCATTCAGCTGTGCATCTTAATTACTTTTCTGCCTCCCATTTTGCTGGCATACATACACCACCTTCTCTGTAGTGTAAGGACAACCTAAACAGAGTCCAGGAGAAAAAAAGGAAGCGGGCCATGCAAACTTGTTTTGTGGGAGGGAAATGAAGCAAGAGAGAGACCTGCCTTAGGCTACTGTAGTAACTTCCACTTGGTAGCATCTTTCATAGCAGGGTTACAATTACATGTCTGCCCAAAGGCCAAACCCTTGTGAGAAGAGCCATTGAAGTCTGGTGAGTAAAGCAAGCAGGATTTGATTGGCTCTCCCACTCCCAAAGTAGCTGTAGCCTGATTCCTCAGCACCCTGTGCCCTATGTAGTCATTTCTTCTCGTGAAAAATGCTGCCAAATGAATGGTAGAATTTTACACCCCTTTTGCACGTGTATAAGGGCCACTGATTTCCACAGCAAAACTTGATCATTCTAAACAGTCCCATTGCAGGTTCTTAAGTGTTTTGCTAACAGAACTGGATATAAATATGTGCTTTCCTGGATCAGGGACTAAATAAATAAGCTGTAGAGAATCAGGAACCTACACTTCCTTCCTTCTTCTTACTGGCCAAGGCTTGAATGTTTATAAAACGGTATAGTAAAATAGAATTTCCAGTGAGATCTGTCAGAAGTGAGGGCATGAAGGCTCTGTATATCTTCTGGTCATGTTGCATATGTTCTGTTTGTTGGAAGAAATACATTCTTACTATTGATCTCCATTCTAGACCACCTCCCCCGTGGTCATTATCCAAATCCCTTGAGTTCAAGTGAGAATGGAGCGCTACAGAAAGAGCCTGATTTCAATTGTTCACATGGCCAGGCTGTATCTGAAGGGTTGGCAAGTAGAAAGAGCCTGTTGAGACTGAACCAGAGGTGAAAGCAAGGGGGTGCGCAGCTTTGGTAAGAGCTGGCTGAGCTGTGGCAAAAGCCAACAGGGAGCTATTGAAAGAGCTGGCAGGGATCCAGGTTGCAATAGGACAGGACCTGTAAGAAATTTTAAGTTACTTTCACCGCTGGACTGAACACATTTCACTCTGGAAATCAGTAAGTGAATAACTATGGTGTCTGCTCATACAGAGGCTCTCTCTTGCCTGTAGCTGTCCTACCAAGGAAGGGGTAACACGACATTTCCAGTAAGCCGGTTCTTTGTTGCTTAATTTCCTTCCAAAATCATCTCAGAGAGTGCAGCTTTTCAAACGTTTATCGTTCTGATCTACCCGCAGTCACACCCCATTAGGAGAAGTCTGGTTTCCTCTGTCACAGTTTAACCCACCGGGTGCTTGTCAAATTCTAGTAAAATAAATCAGTCTTGCCCATGGCTGTAAGACACTCAAAGAAAGCCCAATAAAACAACAGGGAGGAAGATCAGTGAACATAGCACGGGCTCCAGCTGAACCAGCCTGTTCTCCCCTCCGCAAACCTTTCTGACACATACTATTTTATAGCACTGCAGACTATGGGACCTGATCTGCTCTGGTTTTGAATTACTTCCAAGAAATTCCCTCTTTGCATGCTTGATGCTAGGGCACTCCAGACTTGCAACCTTGTGCAGCCTTTCTTAGTGACTCTCACAAACTCAGCAGGGTTCCCGTTAAATGGGAGACCTGAGAAGAGAATCCCAGTGCCAGGTAATCAGTAGTGAGCCATTTGTGCTCAGAGTCACTGTTGAACTGATGCCCCAATGCACAGCGAAGGAAAACAATTTTTTTTGGAAGAAATGACTGAGGTTCCAACATTAACGCTCCTGGGCAATGTTTGTTAGAACCGTGGTGATAGTCCCACTATCCCTGCCAAATTATAACTTAGATTACATTCTGCTTGCCTAATTTTCCCTGCATTAGGGCATTCTCAGCCTCCGAAGCAGCTGCTGCTTCCCCCACCAGAGGTGGCTGCCTTTCAAAGGCAGAAGAAGTGATTTCTGTACAGAATTAGTAAAAAGCATGTTGTCTTCTGGAGGTAAGGTGCAGCATAAGGCAAATATTATGTATTGGGCCAATCCCTGCTATTGTGAGTGGGGTGTAACTCTGTGACCTTACATTCAGGATAAATACCGGTGGGACCTCCCTGGTCCAGCACCCTTGGGACTTCAGCACTCCCGAACTAGGGAGTTTGTCAGACCAGGGGAGGTCAAAGCTCTCCTGCTGGCCCTACTCTCAGGCTCCCTCCGGCTGTGGGGCTCCCCATCCTGCCACTGGCTGTGCCAGGGCTCCCCACCCTGCTGCCAGAGCCACTGCCACCAGGGGTTCTCAGTCAGCCCTGCTGCTGCCAGGCTCCCTGGCCATCACCAAGCTAGCTGTCACTAGCCCAGCTGGGGCTCCCCAGCCACCACGGGACTCCCAGCTGGCTCCCGCTCCCAGTCTGCAGGGCTCTTTGGTCCAGCAATATCCATGCTCATGCCAGACTATCGGTGTTGGCGGACTAGAGTGCCGGATTTGAGAGGTTAAAACTGCATAAAGAAGCCATTGTAAACAGATAACCAAAACAGTTCAGCAGCTTCCACCTCAAACACTGGCCCTTGTCTCCAGCCAAAACAAAGCCACCATAGCAAATCAAAATGCAGCTGCAAAAATCTTTCTCCCATGCTGCTTCTTCTGCATGAGAGGAGCACACTGTGAAAAACTGTAAAGCAACCACGTTGTCCTCTTCTAAATCTCTTATTAAAACCAACCAACACTGGACTGTCTACTGCTTAGTAATGGGCTGCTGAAGCTCTGTGACTGCTGCTAATTATGTAGTCCTTAGACATAATCATAACAGCCTCATTAATTGCATGAGCCCCCTCCAGCTGTTGGTTATTTTAAACTGTCCATCTTATTATTAGATCTATTCTACACTTCAGATGTACACTGACATATCTACATTGCTCAGGGAGCTGAAAAATCTGCACACCTGCATAATGCAGCTATGTAGGTATTCAGGCCTATTGCCAGGTATAGACACAGCTAGGTGCTGCCCTCGCTCAGGTGCTAGCAATGGAAAGAAAACCCTTATATCACTGTCGGCTGTGTCTACACTACAGGTGGGCAAACCAGGTTGTATGTGTGGCAAGACAGTTTGTTTACTAAACTTAAAATACAACAAATGGTCTGGTGGCACTTTATAGACTAACAAAACATGTAGATGGGATCATGAGCTTTCGTGGGCACAGCCCATTTCTTCAGATGACTGGAGTTTGTTTACTGTGACTGCTGGTTTCCGCCCATGTAGTTTTTTTTCTGCCAGTACAAGGGGACCTCCCTAGTCCAGCACCCTCAGGACCTGAGTGGTCCAAACTACTGTACAGGGTTTGCCAGACCAGGGGAGCTCAGGGCTCCCTACCACTATTTGATCTGAGGAAGTGGGTCTGGCCCACGAAAGCTCATCATCTAATAAACCATCTTGTTAGTCTTTAAAGTGCTACATTGTCCTGCATTTTGCTTCAGCTACCCCAGACTAACACGGCTACATCTCTATCACTACCTAGCTGTAGGCTCTGCTACCGGCAGGAGCTGCACTCCCTGCTTGGTCCTGCTGCCTCCAGCCCCTGCTGAGGTTGCACGCTCCCACCATGCCACCCTGACTGGGGCTGGGCTCCCCACTGTGCTGGCCCCGCTGAGGCTGCACTCCCCCCTGCCAGCCTAGCCCAGCATAGGCATTGCATGAAAAGCCAGCTGGGGAAGGCAAGCCCCAGCCCTGCCCCCTTCAGACCACTCCCAGCTTGATCCTTCTGGGCCATGTGGAGAGCCACGGCTGCCATGCTGCAGCTCCAGCCCGGCTCTCCTTGGTGGGCGGGGAAAGAAGGGCTGCCGTGCAGCAAACAGATGCCTCCCCAGCGGACAGGGAAAGCCAGGCAGGGGAAGGTGGGGAAAGCCGGGTTGCTGCGCAACAACCAGATGCCTCCGCAGCAAGTGGGGAAAGCCGGGCTGCCTCTCCTGACGGTGGCCCCAGCCTTATTTTGGGAAGGCTCTGCCTTCCCTTGCCTACATTACTGATCGCCCATGCGGCCCAGGCTGCGCTGCTGAACTTGGCCAGCAAGGGCTCTCTGGTCCAGCAATATCCATAGTCCTGCCGGACGATGGATGTTACTGGTTCAGAGACCCGGATTTTAGAGATTCAACCTGTATTACTCAAGTGACACGCATGTAAAGCAAGGGCACATGAAGTGAGGTGCATTCTGATTTCACACAATATTGACTGTGAAAGCCGTGCACTCCCTCTGCCTATCACAGTGCCACTACAGTTCAATTGGTACATCCTACAAATTCTAGGAATGAAAGTTCAATTAGCAAAACTACCCTATGTTGGCTACAACAATCTTGCAGCCCACTGAGATGGAGGGCCACTTCATGCAGCCCACTCACTAGCCTAGGTCCCCCATCACTGATCTACACCATGAGGTTATGTCAACATAGCTGCAGCCTGTACCTCTGCTTTTATAGTCCTTATACTATAGACATGGCCTTGTATAGTAAAGGATAATTTGTTTGTTATATGCATGCACAACACCTAATATCCAGGATTGCTCATACTTGATCAGTGGCAGACAGAGGCAGATAACTTCAACAGGTACTAGCCTAATACAAATGATGAATAATAATACAGGTAGTATCTTTCTGGGAAAGTGGATGGTAGAAAAAGTAGTCTAATGATGCCATCTACTGGGGAAGTGGGAAATTGCTTTATTCTGGATACATTTACAGATTCAAAATAGGACAAAATAAAAAACTGAGCTATTTTTGCTCTGTCGCCGGTTCCCCCAAGTGGACACTTTAGTCCCAGACAAGAGCGACTTTATTCCAGAATAATTATGCACTTTGGAAACAATTATTTGGGAGTAATTACTCTGGAATTAAACCACTTGTATTCAAGAACAGAATGTCCACATGGGCGGGGAGGATTATTCCAGATGACCTCAATCAGAGTGGAAGGATGACTAAGGCTGTCATGTGAAGTCAGTTTCCTTCCATAGACAAGTCTGGGCAGGGAGGGGGAATACTTTGACAGCAGCATGACTAGCCGAAGCAGGGCCTTCCCTACCACTGCGCAGCCAGGTAGCCCCCAATTTCTC